ATTGAATTTTGTTTAGGAGTATGTTTCTACAAAATCTTTTTTCTCTCATTTAGATAAATGTGTTAAGCTTTATTTATGGTGCAATATGTAATGCAATATGTGAGAATGCAGTCATTTATTTTGTAGTGGATAATGACTACAATGTCGCTTCCATAAATAGAATGCTATTACTATTATATAGTTCACTGTGGCACACAGAGGAAAATAAAAAAGACACATCATTGTTTCGATCACCCAACCCACCATTAATGGATAAAATAAAACTGATTTACAAAAATCGTAAAGTGAGCATTTTATTTTTTAATGTTGTTGTTTGCTCATTTTGTCATTCATCGGTTGTTAATGTACACTAATCATTCTCCTCATCCCCTGTTTCTTCACCAACTAATCATTACTAAAAGTGACACATCATTTCAAGTCACTCAACTGTCAATAGCAATGGAGTTAATATGATCGATTGAGTTATGTCAGTACTAATGACTTACTTTCTCCTGTTAAAGTCTCATGAAGTACAGGCTGCCGATAAGGAATCTGCAACCAAGTTTGCCGTGGCCTCTCCTGCCCTCCATACACCGCGGTTAGTTAGTGTGGGGCTCAAGTTTAGATATTTGAGTGAAATGGTTACTGTTTATGTAATACTATAATCCTTTTCTTACTGTGTCTTTACCAAGTTGCATTGGACTGCTCCTTGGTTTCAGTCTATTGGTGGTTCCAGGTAAATCGTTTTAAAAGTAACAAAATAATGAAATCAGTATCGAGCAGACTTATTTTTGGAACACCAATGTAATTTTCGTAGATGCATATTTTACTTTTAGTCAGTAGCTGGTATTCAGTATCTTGAAATCATTTCTGTAGATGAATCATAACTCACAAATAAGCCTTGCCAACTTCGTCTGAGCTAACAACCATTGGTAGGCGTTTTAAGTAAACTGTGAGGGAACAATGCTTATAGAAAAAAGTAAATATTATCAATGTAACTATCACTAGCTCATGTCTAATTCTTACATATCTGTGTTGTCAGTGACTTCAGTTCAGTTTCACACCTCAAAGAATACTAGTCCACTTACCATATTTTGCTGATTCTCACTTCTAAAAATAAATGCTCTATGGGTTTTGATTGGTTGGTTGAAGTGTGATATGGTGACTGGTGAAAGTATTTCATACAACAAGGAGATACTGACTACATTCTGGACCACCTGTGCAATAGCAACCGGTTAAATACTTTAGTTGAGGTCCCTATGTTCATTTCCGTACAGAGTAAAGGATTAACTCTGATACTTATTCTAGATCTGTGTTGATGTTGTTATCCTCTAATTCCTAGATTTCATTGATTTTGACATAGAAAATGGTCTTGAAAGTAGTCTTACCTGTGCACTGTTATTCTGGTTTTATGTCTCGTTTTGTAGCCTGAATAGTTTGTAACCTCTTTATATTTGACTGAAAGGGCTAAACTAGACGTACAGAAGCATAGTATTTGTTAGTGAAAGGTGTCTTAGTTGTTTGAGATAAAATTTCATCTATTAAGTCACAGGGTTGTGACCTCACTTGATCTACTTCAACTTGAACAGCCGGTGAGTATGGCTCACAAAGTATATGGACCTGTAGTTGATGAGTTTACACTGCTAATGTTTCGTTACGATTTCCTTAACCTTTCTAATTCTATCAACCTTACTTCTAGTGACGCTTAAAAGTGTTCTCTTTTAAATAATTTTTTTGCTTTCACAGTTGTGGGAAAGTTACTCCTTATCACTAACACTGGATAGGTTTAGTGCATTTCGCAGAAAGGTTGGTTTTTCAACAACTTAGAATGTTTGCTCATATTTTTGTCATGTTGAGTCTATTTTCTATGTATTTGATTTAATACTAACCATTTGTTATATATGGAAACGGAGCGATTTCATTCCGTGAATCCAAAGTTTCTTTTAATTTGAGATGTAATGAGTTCATAACATTGACCTGATTAACAAATTTTGTTTATGGTGTCTTTTGAATTCAGTGTTAGAATATGAAGTGAAATATGTTCAGTTATTTCTATTGAATCATCACTAGTTTTGTTTGGTTCGATAAATAAATCGAGGTGACAGGTTTATGGTGAATAAATGAGTTTTTGACTATATTCACGAACCTACTCCATCTGTTCTGTCAACATCATTCTTGTATGTCAATGAATAGTTGAATGTTTATCATAGTATGATACTCAGCTTATTGAAAAATAATCGAACATCGGCTGTGAAAGTCGAATAAGTAGTGAAAATGTTCGTAATTGATCATTCAGTCATCCGAAAATTATTAATATTTTGTAATATTATTGGAGGTACAGATGCAGTGAATTAAGTGGATATGCGCCTCATTAAAAAAAGACTGACTTTTTTAAACAGAGGTGGATGGTGGCTAGCAGTGAAATAAGGGACACATTTTTTGTCCTGTTTTCGATTTATCAGCTGAATATACATACATCCCAGAGTTGATGTTCACCTCAGGACTCGAACCCAATACCATTCGCCCCAAATAGTACAGAAGGCGGGTGTTGGATTCCATTGCTAGCTGCTATCCATCTGTGCTTAAAAAATGCTTGTGACTTATAATGGCAATATCGATACGATCTGGATAAGACTCACATTTGCCAGAAGAGACTGATCGATTGCTGTCCTAAACATCAATGGGAAGATTCAAACCATCGATACATATGACTTAGACTGTATTCACAGTTATTATTGTACCGTGTGTTCACTTTTTGAGTATCAGAGGTTATCCGTAGATTGCCTATATTTCAGGGAAACCAATTGTGAGATAAGCATTGGTTAAATACTGTTTCTCGGCACGTTCGGTGCAGAGGGTTATATCGGGTTTTACGAGACTTTGAAAATAGTAATAAAAGTCAAACGGATGATATTATGAAAAATTCACTGTATATGGTCAATTGTTATTGGAACATTTGGTAACCAAAATACTACTTCATATCTATTCTATATTTTCTTCTTTCGATCTCGAACATCTGGATGGACGTTGTGTCTGTAGTTTGATAAGGTCATTGTATTTGGAGATTGCCCTGATAGTATTGCAAAATATGTTGTGAATTACCGAGCAAACATTGGTCCTATCAAGGCTATTTGGAATAATCTTAGTGGGAACGATAAATGGTAAGATTGAAATAACACTACACAGACATTTTTAGTATGTTTATATAGTTTCATTTATGATAAGTGGATTTTACAGTTAGATGAGTTGCAGTGAACAACAGGAAGTAATGAACTTTGATTTGAGTTTTCTTCTGTTAATCGGTAATCAATGGTCTGTATCTTGAGTAAAATCATAGTTCATTCAAGTTCGGCATAAATGCGGAGACTTATTGTCTCAACTTATGCATACAGGCATTCTGCAACTTACTCTATCCTGGGCACTTTTCCAGTTGTTTACAAGTGCTATTCATTCTTTTCATGTCTGCCCTCCATTCCCGGAGCAATGTGTTCTTTGGTTTACTTTTTTTCTTTTCGATTTGAGGATCGCAAGTTTTTGCTTTCATTGTGATACCGTTTATTGGTTTCCGTAAGTGTGTCCTACATATCTCCAGGTTCCTTTCCTGATTTCCTTCTCAACTGGCAGTTGATCTGTTCTATAACACAGTAGATTACTACTGATGGTCTCTGTCCAGTGAATCTAGAGTGCCTTGCATAGAAAGCTGTTTACAAATACTTGTAACTTTTTGACGATGGTTGTAGTAACTCCCCAAGTTTCAGCTCTGTAAGCCAGAACAATCTTGACGTTTGTATTGATAATTCTGATATCATTATTGCCTGACAGTTTCTTTTGAGTTTCAGTTGTTTTTCAGTTGTTGGGATGTTGTCTTTACTTTGCCAATCCTTGCCTTCCCATCTGCATCAGATCCTTCTTGTTTATCAATGATGCTAGCGAGAGGCATAAAACTTTCCATCTCTTCCAGAGATTGTCCATCATGTGTATTTTGGTTGGTTCTCGTTGTGTAATATTTTAGGATTCATCCTTTTTCTCTCGTGAATGCTGAAGCAAACTGCTACAGAGTCTGTTGTCACGCTAGCTGTCTTCACCTGGATTTGTTGCTGTGTATGATATAGTAGAGCTAGGTCATCTGCGAAGTATTTCGTGCTTTCCTCAGATATCTAGCTCTTCATAGTCCAGTCAGCCACCAGAAGTAAGACGAATGGAGAGAGTAAGCACCCTTGTCTGACTCCGGTCTTCTCTTGGAATGCATCTATCAGCTGTCCTCTACGCACCATTTTACAATGTGACTTATCGTATGAATTGCGGATGATGTTGACGATTTCCTCAGGTACACCATAGTGATGAAGAAAGTTCCATAGGGTTCTCCTGTCCACACTGCCAAACGCCTTCTCACAGTCAAGGAAGTTGATGTATGATGATGAGTTCCATTCAATTGATTATTTAACGATGATTCGTAGTGTGCCGATTTGGTCTGTGCACAATCAATCCTTACTGAATCCGACCTGATGATCTCGAAGTTGGGCGTCTACTGAATCTTTCATCCGGTTCACCAACACTCTACTGAAAAATTTTCTGGTACCGATAGTAGTGTGATACCTCTATAGTTCTCGCATTTGCTCAGATCTCCTCTGAGATGGTGGAGAAGAATTGTAGCTCAAGTGGATGATTGAGATGGAGTTTTGTTCTCTGAGCTGGATGGTTTGATCGTGGAGCTTTTACCGTTCATCTGAACGACATCATCAGCACAAAATTCAGATAGAAGTGAAGTGTTTGAATTTCTCCATATGCGTTTCACAGCTTGTTCTGTACACGTCGACGCTGATTGGTTCTTATTGACCTTAAATTTGTCATTGTTTACTTCTTCTTTGTTTTGGTTGTGTCTCCCATTGGTTTGATTTTTGCTCCTATATTTGTGCATGATTTTTTTGATTGGTTGATAAATTGGATCGATATCAATATGCTTGTTGATTGCATATCAGATCTCCTCTCTTTGGCATCTTGACGGGATATGATTCTTTCCAGTCCGTTGGTGGCATTTGTTTACCCTCTTAAATAGAACATGAAGCATGTTTTCAATTGCTTCTTTGTCTGACTCTAGTACTTTGACTGGTATATTGTTAGGTTTTTTCTGCTTTCTCACTCATGATTTGTCTGATGGCCATCCTAATTTCTTCGATCGTTGGTGAGGTGACATGAATTTAAAGGTCTGTTTGTGCTACTTCGATGTTCAGTGAGGCTGGTCTGTTTAGGAGTTCTTCAGAGCGCTCTACCCACCTGTTCACTGTTATTGAGTCTCAGTGGTTGGTTTGCCTTCTTTGTCATTGACCAGTTTTATATTTCCACTTAGGATGGTCAGGCTTTTTCGTAAACACTTCTCTGCGATCGACTGCAACCTCTCATGAAACTGATTTTTGTTGTCTTCTTTGCTGTTATTGGTGGTTTTATGACCAACTGTTCGGATTATATATTAATTGAATGAGTTAAGTGTACCAGGGATGGTACAAGTGTAAAATATCTGGAGGTATTGAGGCTTAATGAGTGGTCTCAGTAACAATAACAATCAAACATTTAATGTTCCTATAACCATTAGTGGAATAGGATACACCTAAAAGTGTAAGGAAACATAAAGTATTTCTAGAGGATAAGTAAACATCAATACAACGAACGAAGGATAGTAGTAACCTTATTTCACGAATAGATTGCAGCAAATTATTCCACAGTCTGGCAAATCTAAGTAATTAATATAGAGAGAAGATTAAAATTGGGATCGTTTCACTGATGGCAATTTGTTACGGTTGGTATAACCAAGAGTTTCTGCACATTGAATTGGATAATTAGATAGAAAAGATAGTTGATTAAATATTCTGAAGAAAAAAATCAAATATCGTTTCAGTTGCTGTTCCATAAAGGTCGATTCTGAGCTTGTTACATCTGCATTTATAGTTTAAGGTACAGTCAGTCCCAACAAAGTGTAAATCGCCTGCAAACGGAATCCAGCCTTAAGTTGTCGCCTATCCGAACACTATGACTATTGAGTTGAAATCCACTGCTTAACATTTCTAATCCGAGTTGCCTAACTGAAGTCACTCGATGATGTGAACTGCAAGTGTCCTATACTAACAAAATATTGTATCCCAAACCGAAATATATTAAAGTAATCGATCAGTTAAAGTAGAGGTGTTATGATTGCTAGTATATTTAGTGTTGATTTTCCAATACACACGCTGGTCATTTATAAATGCCTTCTTTTTTCTAACCTAATCTTATTGACATTGCATTTTATAAAGCCAGCTCTGTGTAATTTGAATAAGAATATTTAGGTCCAACTGGTGAAAATCGAATGCTTAACATTTTTAACACATTCAAGTGTGAACAATTAGGTCATTGGTTCGAACCCCTATCCAGTTGGTTTAGTTTGAAGTTAAAGTTGTTGGATGTTGGTCTGTACTCGATTGCTAAAATGTGTCAACTGTAATTTTCCATCATACTTATGTGGTTAGTGGTTTTCGAGACATTTCATACAACGTGTTTGACAAAGAATTTTCATCCCTTTAATTGAGGTTCATTATTTATTGATTTATCTTCCAAAGGTGCACTTCATTCCCAATGACGGGATGGATTGAATTGAAAGGATTAGTAGATAATATTTTCAAATATTTATCGTTACCGGATGACAAATGTTTAGTAGAACAAATCGATAAAATTGATGAAACTTACAAACTGAATTCCATGTTTGACCTACCTCTTCAAATGAACCTATCAAGTGAGCAACAAGGTCACAATAAACTTTCTCAAATAAAATCATCTCAGTAAGTTGTGTTAATTTTTATCTAAACTTTATTCTTGTTCACTGTTCCAATAACTGAATATTTGATAGAATGTTAATTGAAATATCACTTTCCGATTGTGTTGATGCAAACAATCTTGTTTGTTTAATTTTTACGTCCATTGACTCATGTTTGAAGAATTCTGAACGTGATCTCTCTTGATAGATTGCTACTCACATGTTAGACCAAAGTACGTGTTTACTGCACAGCAGTTCGTTCCGTCCTACTTTATGGCAGTGAAATATGGCAGGTAAGAGTAGAGGATATTCGTACGTTACTAGTATTTGATCATAGGTGTCTTCGAAATATTGCTCGTATATCCTGGGACCATCGAGTAAGTAACACAGTTGTTAGGAAACGGGTACTAGGTAAGGATGGCAAATCAATTGATGAAGTGGTGAAACTTCATCAGTTGAGATGGCTGAGACATGTGTTGCGTATGCCCAACCACCGACTGCCTCGACGTGCGACTTTCAGTGGTATAGGAGTAGGTTGGAAGAAAGCTAGAGGCGGCCAGACCAAAACATGGCACAAGTCCATGAAGTCACTGACAAGTGAACTGAGTCATGTTGGTAGGTGTAGACTACCTGGTTGGGGACCGCGAGATGATATCAACCGATGGTTAGAGACCCTGAATGACATGGCTCAAAATCGTTTGCAATGGCGCAGGTGCATCCACTCTCTGTGTTCTCCCAAATTCTAATCTTTTGAATTCTTCATGTCCCTTTCTTTTTTCTCTTTCCAAATTTATTTCACTGGATTATACTCCTTGAATAACATCTTCAAACCCTAATTTTTCTGATTACAGCTTATAATTTTACTACATCTAGCACTACGGGATTTGAATCGACCACTACATCTCTGTGCTAATGTGGTGTGGCAACTCGAACTGATGTACGTACGTACGAAGTTCTACGTTGTTACTGACTGATTGACTGACTGACTGACTGACTGAGACTATTGAACTAGATGTATTAAGTGTTAGCTACACTTTCTTTTAGCTACTCCATAAACTGTTGATGAGCACAGAAATTATACATGGAATATGAAATCAAGTATTCTAGAGAGGAGATTGAATAGATGGTTAGAAGTTTATAGTTATGTTTTCTATACTACAAAGTTTTCGTTGCTGTTTAGACTTTGAATTAGATTAGAAGGTTTGTCACTTTCCAACTAATCACACAGCGAAAGGATGCTCGTTGAGGGAGCTGATAAGGAAACTGGATTAAGAGTAGTGGCATTGACAACTCAGAAGTGTGACTGTTGAATGCTAGAGACATCCGTTTGAGACCAGTTATGTTCGGAATTTTTTGAGTAGTTTTTGTTGTTTTGGCTCCGTAAGTTTTAGGCCTTTCCCACTGATGGCGGAAATCTGTGGAAAAGATGAGATGTTCTATTGCTAGGTTTGAAGCTATTACGAGTTCACGTAGTATGCGAACGGAACAAAGACTTGTGACCGATGACCAATAAGCTAGATATTCTGATGCGTCCTAGCCCCGCTAACTAGAGGAAAAAGTCCAAGATGGGAATGGAGAAGTATATTCTGCAAACAGCCAAAAACGATCGATAACAACAAGCACAAATCAAAGCGTATATATACAGCATAAAACCGTCCTCGGTGAGAGTTACCAAATAGCATACTAAAAGATGCAACGGACCAATAGCATTTATGATTCGTCCAAGTGGGAAATACAATATGAAGGTGACAAGAGCGCTTTTGGCGCGAAAACAAAGAAATTCAAATTTTCTAAATAAAATTACAAAATTAGATCAGTTACGAAGTGAGTTCTGGTGATCTAACGTCCCGAACATCTATTTATAGGACCGAATTTTACCAAAGCCCTCTTCCCGTTGTGGAAAGGTAGTATTAATATATATTGTGGTTGTTTGAGGGAAACACCTTACTACCATCATACTATGCATTCGATGGTACGACTTCCACCTTGGATCGTTATTTTGATGCTTTTAGTCCTGGCACTCTCCGATCAATCTGTTTGTCATGTTAGGATCTAAATGAATAAGTATAGTTTAATTGGATTGTCACGAGATGCAAACTGCCAGCACAAGGATAGATACTTAGATTATCACAGTACAGTAGTGACATTACTAAAAAGCAAATAATGTAACTCTGTACACCCTAATTATCATCAAAGTTTCAACAGTGAGAATTTAGTTAAGCAGTTACAATAACTTTAGCACAATGATTGGAATAAAATTTCATATCATATATGATATTTTATTAATCGTTTGTTTGTATAAATTATCTTGTTCTTTGTATTAATTTAGAGACAGTTTCTGCCGCGTGTATATATCATCATCTTACATTGACATGCATGCGGAACATGATCTGATTTACCATACTTTAGTGCCAAATTTGTGTCAAAATGTTGCACAAACGTGCAGTACTTGCCTTGATCTAGTTGATCTACGTATTGGTGTTCCTGAATCAATCACCCGTAGTCTCATAGCTTTGGAAATGTATTTGAAACAAGCAGCAGCCTCTGATATATTTATCCTGTTATTGGGTGATAAGTGAGTATCCCATATGTATATGCATTGAAGTCACTTTCTTACTGCAAATATAATTGTTTATCATAATATAAATATATATATTCTTAGAGGGGTATATTTTCCATATAATCTGAATATTCACTGTTCTAAAGGATAATATCAAACTGCTAGAAGAGCCGATAACAGTCACTGTAGATGCCGGCTTCCTTGACACTTCCCAGACCTTCATATTCTCAATATTTGAGTCTGGAACTGAAAACAGATGAAAAATATAAAGCAGAGAATTTTGAAAGATACGAATTTCCTTGAGGTACTAGAGGTTTCGAGAAACGGTGCTAGAATTGTTATTAAACGTAGTGATTGTCCAGTCAGATTCAACAAACATGATGGTTTCTAGACGTTTTTAATAATTTACCAACTAAAGTTGATTAGTGAAAGTGGTTTTCACACTTATCTTGGCTCTTGTGGAATTTCCTTAATTAAAACATTCAGTTCTTACTAAAGGTGTTTACGAATGACATCTCGATAATCAACGCATTGTTGAGGTTATTTTTAAACAGACTTGACCGTATGACAATTGCTGTCTATTAGATTGATTAAAAGAAAAGGCATTAATCTATGTGTACTATGTGAAGTGTCCAGATATTCACTTAAACTGCTTAATCTCTTCTTTTACCTCTACAACTCTGGGATAAGCCTTGACATTTTCATCTGGTTGAGCTTATGCGGTCTGTCAACTTGAACCGATGTACATACGTATTAGGTTCTACATTGCAATTGACTGACTGAATGTCTTAAAAAATATACCGAATAATAATGAATGAGTGATTTTGTATGAGATTGTAAATGATAGTGTAACTGAAAGAAATTGTAAGGTGATGCAACATCTCATATGGTAAAGTTTCTTCTAAATGAATAAATATTACCGAATTCAAAATAAATCAAAGTAGATCCTATCTGAATATGATAAAGAAGTGTACGAATTAAAAGTATTCACATTTTAACAAATTTGTAGTTTAAGCAAAAGTCCAATGTTTTCATGCAATACAAGTACTATGAGGTAGTTATACGATGCCAACAGTTGTTGGTATATTGCTTAAACGATAAACTGTAATTGAATTTGTCAGCGTGTTAAGTATCTGTTAACTGAAAAAATGTTTAGTTTAATTCATTCTTAATTTTTCGACAGATATGGTTGGGTTCCTGATGAATCGTTAGTTAGAGCATTGCCTGATTCACTTCTAGCTGAAGTCAATAAATTTTACAAGCTTGGAATGTCTGTCACAGAAATGGAATATCATATGGTGAAACTAGCTGCCGTAAATAAATTGTCCAGATCAAGTTTCAACATGTTTCCTTCTACAGTGTTCGTATTCATTCGAGATTTTAATACAAGGTTTGTTTCCTTATTTCGAAAAGTGTCGTTTTCAATTGTTATTTGTGATACTTTGCCGAATCTGTTTTATATTTATAAATGCATCATCATAGTTAGTTGGTTATCATCTCAAATTGTGATCAGTCGAGTGAATGTTGTGTATTGAAAATTGCTGTACTTAAAGTATATTTTCTTAATTAAATCCATTCATTTAATCTGAATTATTGAGTCTGATTCTTTTGTAGTGTTAGTCTCCAGATTTGTGATTCCGAACACCATTTCTTAATGACAGAAGATTGATTGTTTATCGTTATTAAAGCTTTTGGTTATAAGATTATTGTTCTTAACAGATTAATATCACCATTTGTAAAGTTATTGCCTTTTGCTCTAAATAGTTGATTGTTAATTGAACGTTTCCAGATGCGCTTACCCTCTGTATTGGATCCCGTCTATACTCTAACAATATGAGTTCGATTTATGGGTTAGGACATAGATGTGTACACGTGATTAGTGAACTGAATATTTTTTATTGAAAGAAAGATGTCAAAATCATTTTTGACGTTGATATTGGGTTGAAAATACTCAACATACAACTACAATAATCAAAATGAATCACATTTAGTAATAATTTTGCAGCTAACATCAACATTTTTCACTATGTATTTTTAGCGCCAGCATACAATACTTCAGGGTTGTCTATGATAGAGTATTTCCTACTTTCATACACATCATTTACTTTGAAATAGGATGTCTTTCAGTGAGGACAACTGTGTTACAGTTGACCATCGTTCCTCTGAGACTAGTTAAACTATCAAAGAAAGTCAATTCATCGACTTCCTCAATTAATTCACTTCATATTGTTAAGTGAAAAGCATTGCAAAAATTTATCATCTTAACCCAATGTACTTAGAAGAGTTTAGATTTGTCAGCGACTGTATATTGCTTGCTTGCTACAATCCTATTGGAGAATGTCGATAGCTAGAAAAAGTTTACTTACAAAACGATTTTTGAGAAACTGAATTAAAATAAAGAAATAAAACAGATTTGCTTAACAACACTTGATGTGTGTAATTCGTGTGACAATTCATTGCAAGCTGTGATCATACCACAATTTTTTGAGTGAGGACTTTTCGCTATGGTGATATACTCGTTTGTTTTACATATTTCAGCAAAATACTGTCACGATACCTCTCAGGTAGATTTAAATATCACTACATCTACTTTCAATTTTTAAGAACGTAGCTAAAGTGAATCATGGAAAAACACGTTTCGTCGTAAAACGAGATTAGGAAGTCTTTCATTTGTACTTTCCATGTCAATCTGTTGACATGTTAGTTAGAGTGCAGAAAACGTGTCTCATACCTACTGAGTGTGCTTGAAAAGACTATATTTCAGTTGTAATTTATCATTACTTACATACTTTTGTAAAAGGTTGTCCCCCTTGAAAAATCTTTATAAAGAAAAGGTTTCTGAAGAGAACTGGTTTTGTTGTTGTAGTAAGTCACTATGCTTGTTCTGTCAGTGTGATATTGTGAAAACTATCGAAATATAAGAATTTAATGTTCATTTCCTTTGAAAAATTCACTCATTTTATATATTCTGTTGTATTTCCTCTTTTGTTGTATATATAATACCACTTGGAGTATCTAATAAATCTATACTGTCCCTCTTTGTTAACTACGAAATTTTGATCCTTTTCTGTCATTTCTTTTGATATACATAGTTAGCCTACTTTCTCTATTATTCATAATGCATCGAAAAATCAGTTTTGGTTAATCCTGTTAGGGTGATTTTAAAGGGTCTATGCCATCAGAACTATTATCAAAATCTAACATTGTATTCTTTTTACTAAAAAACATTAGTGACATACCGAATGAATATGGACAAATATTTCGTGATCACGATCCAGTCAATCTTCATCACCTCGATGCGTTCAAACAACTCTTACTGAATGATGGAGTTTCTATCCTCAGGTATTCTAGTTTAATTCAGTGTGCTATTTGATTATTTTTGGTATAGCTCAAAATATCTGTTTCAACTCATTTTTCTTCTTCAAGCAATCACTTTCTGCTGGAATATACTCTTTGTAGATCATCTGATTAGGCTTGTGAAATTAGTGTAGCTCCTGTTGACACCGCATTGTCCAAAATAGATAAATTGATCATAATGCTTTGATATTTTCGAATATTCTGTTTTCTGGAGATTCTTGATAGATCCCAGTGACTATTTTTATCAGTTTTTGTAAATACTCTGTGTAAGAACAAATCCCTCACATTGACGATAATCTATAGAAACTCATTTTTCATCCTTCATTATTATGAAGAGAATTGTAATGTATGTCACTCTTTAAAGTTTTAACGGAAGATGGGGTTTTTTCAATAGCACAATTTTTTAAAGCTTTTTAAAGAACCTGTATGATTGTTCATTGAATAGCACAACTGTCCTGGTTCAATTTCACCAAGTACTTCTAATTATCAAATGAACAATAGATTAGAATGATATGCAAAATAGTACTACCTGTTACATAGAATATCTCATACTCCAATGATGAACAATCTGTTTTATAATCCATTTGATAGTTTGCTTTCTATGAGGCGTGTTTTGGTTTGTAAATATTATCAAATAAATTCTTGTTGCAATTTCAGTTATTCTGCTCGATTCATTGGTGTAATTGATGACCGTCCGATGATGGGAAATCTAGATAACTTTGCAAATCAATTTATATCAACACTAGAATCAACGCTTAAGAGATTATATTACAACCCTGTAAGTGTGTTTTTTGGCACTTACTCGCTGATCATATTTCTCCACTCTCTTTATATCTGTCATAAATTGTTGTTTTGCGTCTAAAAGTGATTACACGTGAACGATTTTGTGCATATAATGTAGGTACTTTGATATCAGAAGTTAGCTCTTATCTATCCTACCATTTTTGAATTATGCTGATAAATGTCTTTCATTTATTGGTAAATCTAGTCCTTACTCATTTACTTACTTACGCTTGTTACCGCTGGTGGAGGAGCATAGGCCATCCACCAGCATTCTCCATCGAACTCTGTCTTGGTCAACCTTTGCAGTTGCTCTTCATCCTTTTGATGTCTGCTTCCAATTCTCGAGGCAGTGTGTTCTTTGGTCTTCCACTTTTCTGTTTCTATTCAGTATTTCAAGTTAGAGCTTGCCTCATGTATTTCCCGGTCAGTTGCTGCCGCCTTCTTTTTGACTGATCTTTATTAATTTTAAAACATTCTGTAGATGTCTTCTGTAAATCATTTTAATCACTAACTGACTACTACCTTACTGAGCGATCCATATCATTTATTGTTTCATCAATTTCTTGATGCAAATAGGTAAATGACGCTATTAAGTCGCCAATGGTTACGTCGTCTGATGATAATGATGAATTGATAGATATTTCAGAATGTTTTGCAACTTATGTGAATCCAATAGCTTGTAATATATCACCACGACATTTGTTAAATATACAACATGCCTTTAAAACAATGATTGGAAAATGTGTTCCGACTTATTTCACTGGCCAACATACAAAATCTGATGAATCTTCAAATACAACTTCTAAGAACGTGAGAATTGAAGATAGAACCTCAAATGATCAAAGTTAGTTTAGTTTTTAGAAAATAAAAATATTTTGACAGCGTTTGTTATTATCTAGTCTATTGCATTGTCTAGTTGAACATTTATTATGTAAAAGTTGCAAACGAATCAGTTACTGAATATATATTTGTTAGATTATGTAGGTTGTGTTTGTAACAAATTGATCACGTTTAATGTATCATTGGAAGTCAGGGTGCACTGGATAACTGTTTCACTGTAGTATGAGAGTGCTTGATAATGCTCAAGTGTTCTGTTTGAAATCTGAGAGTTTTGGTCATGGATACGCACTGATAAACAGATTAATCTGTGATGAATACAACCTACAAATCCCTTCAACCGATCTTTCGTCATAACATGAAAGTAACTTTGTGTTGAAAGATTGTTCCATAATTTTTCTTTATTGAGTGTGATTTATGCTGTGAATGTGAGTAATTTAACTTCGTAACTTGTAAACAGCTGTTTATGCAAAGTACTCCGTGTTTATTGGACATAGACCATCAATGACACCCTACTATAACAAAGAAAAGTCGATTGGAGAATGCTGGTTTGCGCCTATGTTCCACCAGTGGTGGTAACAGGCATGAACTAACTACACTCTAACCTATATAAAGTATTATTTGGAACTAAGAGCAAATCTTTGTCTATAATTATTTTCATATTCGCTTCCATGATGAAAATTGATTTGATTCACGTTTAAACATGTAATGGTGTGTTTACAATTTGTTGAACAATACATTCTATGACACAACATTGCTCGCACACGTATAACCTTATGAAGATCATGTATTCATGTTACAAAATACACGATACACTTGAACACTTATAATTAGAAATGAAATCATATAATCATCTTAATGTCTATTATTACCATTGCAATAGTTGTTAGTTTTTTCCTTGTTTATTGTGCATTAACGCACGGTAAACATTTTCACAACTTAACAAAATTTTCTGCTAATAGTCATGTTTCATCAGTTGCATTTGTTGTTTTGTTTCTAGTGCACGTTCAGATGATCAGATTTGTAATTATTTTTATAAAGTTTCAAAATGACTGATGTAGAGTTTATTTTTCTCTCTCTCTCTCTGTGGATCAACATGCGAAGTAGATAGATGTGAAACTAATTACTTCACTCGCATCTTGTTTGTTAACTAAGTCTAACTAAATTTTCAGTCAGTCAATCAGTCAGTAACAACGTAGAACTTCGTACGTACGTACATCAGTTCGAGTTGCCACACCACATTAGCACAGAGATGAAGTTGTCGATTCAAATCCTGTAGTGGTAGAGGTAGTAAGATTATAAGCAGTAATCGGGAAGATTAGGGTTTGGAGATGTTATTTAAAGAGTATAATCCAGTGAAATAAATTTGGGAAGAGAAAACAGAAAGGGACATGAAGAATTCAGAAGATTAGAATTTTGGAGAACACAGAGAGTGGATGCACCTGCGCCATTGCAAACGATTTTGAGCCATGTCATTCAGGGTCTCTAACCATCGGTTGCTATCAACTAGCGGTCCCCAACCAGGTAGTCTACACCTACCAACATGACTCAGTTCACTTGTCAGTGACTTCATGGACTTGTGCCATGTTTTGGTCTGGCCGCCCCTAGCTATCGTCCAACCTACTCCTATACAGCAAAACATCGCACGTCGAGGCAGTCGGTGGTTGGGCATACGTAACACATATCCCAGCCATCTCAACTGATGAAGTTTCACCACTTCATCAATTGATTTGCCATCCTTACCTAGTACCCGTTTCCTAACAACTGTGTTACTTACTCGATGGTCCCAGGATATACGAGCAATAATTCACTACGGGATTTGAGTCGACAAGTGCATCTCTGTGCTAATGTGGTGTGGCAACTCGAACTGATGTACGTACGTACGAAGTTCTACGTTGTTACTGACTGACTGACTGACTGAGCAATATTTCGAAGACACCTATGATCAAATACTAGTAACGTACGAATATCCTCTACTCTTACCGGCCATTTTTCACTGCCATAAAGTAGGACGGAACGAACTGCTGCGCAGTAAACCGGTCCTTTGGTTGATAGACGGATATCTCGCCTACGCCATAAATGAAGCTAGTCGAGCCTTCTGTATCCGCGCTGAGATTTCGTCACACACTAAACCACAAGGGCTGATGAGACTTCCAAGATAAGTAAAGCGGTCGACACACTCAACTACTTCACTCCCTATCACTAGTTCGGGTGTGGATGTAACCCAATCCTGAAGCAACATTTTGCATTTCTAGGGAGAGAATCGCATCCCGAACATGCTTGCATTGTTGCTTAGAGTGGTCAGAAGACTCTACATTTTGTCAGAGTCTTCACCAAATAAAACGATGTCATCAGCATATTCCAAGTCAACAAGTGAATCTCCCGGTAGAAGTTCAACCCCTGGAAATTTAGATGCGGAAAGTGTTATCCCTAAAGGTCCGTCAATGACAAAGTTAAACAAAAATGGATAGAGTGGGCAGCCCTGACGAACACCACTTGAGGTAATCAATTCTGATGACAGTTCGCCATAAGCTCTCACTCTACCAGTTGTGTTCGAGTAGAGAGCCTTTATAAGGTTAATGTACTTCTTTGGTACTCCTTTCAGTGACAAACACTGCCATAGAACCTCACGATCAACAGAGTCGAATGCCGCCTTAAGGTCGAGAAATACTACGATTGTGGGGCGTCTGAATGTGTGTCTGTGTTCTAGAACCTGACGTAGTGTGAATATCTGATCTATACAACCACGTTCAGGTCGGAAACCAGCCTGATTTTCTCTAATCTGCTCTTCACGAGCTTTGATTAGGTGTCGAAGTATTATTGAAGCTAATATTTTAGACAGTATTTTAGTCAAACTGATTCCTCTGTGATTGTCACAAGAGAACTTTTGTCCTTTCTTATAGACAGGTACAATCAGTGATTGAGACCAGTCAGATGGGATTACGTCCAGTTCCCAAATTCTACCTATGACCTCAGTTAATCTCACTGCTAATACTGGACCACCATCCTTAAAAATCTCAGGAGTAAACCTGTCAGGGCCTGCTGCTCTCCCTCGTTTCAGATTTCTTATGGCTTTTTCAACTTCGTAAAGGGACGGAGGACCTACATTAACTTGCCATTCAGGTTGACTAGAGATCGTGGGAAACCGAAGTGTGGCTGAAGGCCAGTTGAACTGATCCCTAAAGTGTTCTGCCCATCGATCCAATCTCCTGGATTGAGAATGAATAATATGTCCATCTTTCTCTGAGATTGTTTCGCTAACGGTCGGGTTCCTATTACCGGTTTCCTTAACGAGTCTGAACAATTGTCTGCTATTACCTATTGCCGCTGCCCTCACACCTTGAGTTACTGCTTTTAGTCTTACCGTTCACCAATCGACCTGCCTGGCATGGTAGAACCTGCAGGAACATATGTTCCAGCCAATATAGCTCGGTTGGGTCATCACGATAGGCAAGCCCGACCACCGCGTCAAGGTAGCAGCTTCGATCGGGTAACCTTTATTATTTAGTGTTCTTCTTAAACCGGAATTCGTTGTTTTAATCGGAGATTTTTTAATTCAAATTATGTGAAAAACAGGCTGTGATATTTCATTGGAATATGACGTTGAGAAGTTCTCTGACTGAACGCTCGAGTCAGTTTCCTAAGCTTCTTTAATAACCCCATGCTAGATCTGCACGACAACATGAAGATGAGTGAAAAGGCACGAAGTACGAAAAGAACGCATTACTCCAAGTTTGTGCAGAAAATTGAGGGTATTTTCGGTGTTTCAGATGGTCTATAAACACAATGCCAACTTGGAACAGTCAGTATGCAAACTTCCAGAGCCGGGTGTTATTGAACAAGAAGAGAAACGTAATCCATTGTTTATCCTCAAGTGCTAAACAAATTATGTGTAGAGAACACGTATAATGATTAATTGAATTTAATCTGACCCATAGTTTTGGATAATGGTTTTCCTCCCCTCATGTTTATTGGTAGTAACCTCAAATGAAAAAGGCAATCTTAAAGTACCGTCACTGTCCCGAATTAATTTTTATTCGTGAACACTGAGCTCATAGTTCAGCTTCGGAAATCCCGAAGAAAAGACTGTGAAGAACTCTCGGAAAAGCGTTGTATTAAATGGAGCTCCAAATCATTTTCAGTCTTTGCTTCATTTTGATGCATTGTCGAGGCTAAACTACTGATTGAATCGACGTAAATGTTCATTTACGAGCCTTACTTGATCTTATGAATAAGGTTTTATTATCCATAGAAAGTATGCATTTGTCAAATGTATTGTTGGACATGCCCGCACATGACCATTTGAAGGGTGATACAAGTTAGTTAACATCTCAATCTTTGAACACATCATAATCAAAATTTCCCCTTCATCATTTATTAGTGTTTTTATAAAGTCCTTATTTTAACATCAGTAGCACTGATTTATTTTGATAGTTGCCACATGACTGTTTGTTAGTTTTATATGAAGCATTTTATGCTTTGTTTCAAACCATCGAATGTGATTTTTACATCGAAACTACTATTGATCAAAAGAGAATATAATCAGTCAATTATGATTTTTTGTGTGGTGATTGTTTCTTTCTTCTAACATAAAAACAAATATGTGTTATTATTATTATTATTATTATTATTATTATTATTATTATTATTATTATTATTATTATTATTATTATTATTATTATTATTATTAGCTTTATTCAATATTATGTTATTGGTACAATATAGAATTTTCAGCACAAAGTATTTCAACAAATTTCCGTTTCTTTCTTCTTGGTCGGTCCTCGCGATAAATACTGAGTGGTCGCCAGCTAGATGTTATCAATCCAGTAAATGAACATGGGAATGATGTACATTCTTTTCGTTGAAAATTGCCCGCAACCATGTTCTCTCTTTTTGAGCTTTTTGTAACTTTGATAACGAAAGGTTGTACATTTTTCAGAAACGCAGCAGAATAGGTTGTGCGATTAATAGACATAATGATATATTAAAACAAACAAAAATAGATAACTTGTTGAAATATCTCGATGGCAGGAACAGGTAGCCCAGATGCTCAAGCAGCTTCTGCTTCACGGTGTTCGATTAGTGTTTGAGTCAGTAATTACTTGGTTATCTTTTAACTACCAGGTTGTAGATTCAAATCTAAATTTTACTAGTTCGGCGCAGTTGACGATTGAATATCGTCACTACTATCGTCAGATTAAAAATTGCCCTTCAAAACGAAATAAAATAATCTCATACAGGTCCTTTGACTATAGATTATTCTTTTCCGTTTTGGATTGTCTCGGTACTACATATTTTTTTTGTATTGTATGTTGTTTTTCCTCCCTAAACATTTTGTTAGTTTAGTCAGTCATACATAAGTTGGAACCAGAAGTATATGTTCAGCGGTCCAAGTTATCATATATCATATTATGAAATTATGAAGAGTAATAGTAATATTATTATTATTATTATTATTATTATTATTATTAGTAGTAGTAGTAGTAGTAGTAGTAGTAGTATTGCGGTGTATATTATTTATGTCTGTCGACATAAGTAATATGTAACAGCAATCAGAAGTGGAATGCCTAGCAGCAGAAGGTTGAGAAGATCGGATTGAGGAGAACAGGAATAATATGATTGGTGGTGGTTGTCTTAGTAGTAGTGGAAGGGACTAAATAATTTAAAAACAAATAATCCGAAGGAAAACAAAGAGTACATGCCTCTCTCCCATTATGAACTATCGTGAGCCATGTCACCTGTTATATCCGAGTGGAGATTAAATTACAGGTGACTTCCGAGGACTATTCATGGACTAATATTCTTATTGTATAACTACTCAACAATTACACTATGTATATTTATATTCCTTTTATGATAAGCTTTATTTCGACCTATAATTTATTATTATACGATTTACGGTTCTTAATCTGTGCTCAGTCTATTATTCACTGTCCCCCTCGTTCACAGCCACTTTTTGGCTTATTTGTGTACAAATATTATTTCCTATTTTATGGTACGTTGCGGTCTGTATGATTGATATATAAACCAAGTATGCCTGAAATAAACGATCTGGTCTGATCTGCTCTGATTCGAAGCTGGTGTCTTGTTCTGGACTCAAGTGGAAGGGCTCGCAGGACATAGGACCAATAAGGACGCTAAACTACCCACACCGGTTGAACGTTATTGGTTGGCCTAGTGTAAAGATCCGTATAAGTCGTATTCGGATTGGTAGATAAATCGCGTGATAGAAAAACCAGACATTCAAGGTCATAACATCACCCAATGTCTGCAGTCTAACTGATCGTGGTTATTGCGTTGACTTCAACCAAGTAGTTTGAATCTACTGTCTTGGTTCAGACTAACAGTCACTCACTTTTTGTCGACTGATATTCCATGTCTTAGTTTGCTCACCGCCTTATTTTGTAACCCACTTGCACACCAGGAAACATCTTTCGTAGATGTAGGCAGAGGTTCGGCCTACCTGTCATGCTTTGCTGATGAGCAACAACTGACATGAAATAATATTAATAATAATAGTCTTATTCGATAAAATATGTTTAATTACGGCTAAAAAGTCCTCAGAGAGAAACGTGCAGCACCTAAGTTATGGATATACAAAATCTGCAGAAGAAGTCTTGATACTGTAATTAGCTGCTGTATATATTCATCTGTAAAGGTTTGTGAGCACGTCTTGCTCATGTGAAATCTCTTTTCATCTCTGAATTTATTTGATGCATGAATTTTATAGCAAAGATATCAAGATTCTCTAAACGACAGAGTAGAAAGAGGAGGCGACAAATATGCAAACCGTCGTAGTGGTACTTGTTTAGCTTCTCAGTAATTAGATTCATGATAGAGGGTTGTGAACATTATGTGGAATCGTGTAAGTACACCTTAATGAAATTAGTTCAGTAAGACAAATGCTTTGCCGGGGAAATGTTTAGGTTCTATTCAGTGTAACTCTACTTTCCTTGCGCATATATGTATAAAAGTTAACTGTTCCTTTTTAATGTGTGTATTTCCGTGTTTAAGACGAAAATGGAGGGATTTTAGTCATTACTGGAAGTCCTGGAAGTGGAAAAACTGTTCATCTGGCTGCATTAGCAATGTCGTTGGCTACAAGTGATCATCATTCTACTTTGATGAGCTCGAAAGATTATACTCGATCAACAAGTACCACACGGAAACCAATGTCAAACAGTCAATCATTGGCAAAGTATCAAATTTTAATTCATTTTACAAATGGTATACCGAGTACAGGTTTACCATCATGTAAACAATTGTCTAAAGTGCTTGATCATTGGATCAAATGTCTAGCTGCCCAATTACAGAGTTTATTCAGTTCATCAAATATTCTCAAAATCTTTCTTTCGAAGATCAAAGTTAATTTGGATAGCACAAATACAGCAAACGATCACCATAATCTGAAGTAATTTTTTTATTTCACTTATCTATAGTGTTTAACATGATGATATTAGCTTTCTAAATGCCTGTCTGACTATTGGTACCAACACATCTATTAGATATTATAACATAGAGAGGACCATAAAATGCGAAAGAACACTGAATAGATGTTTTTACCTAATTTAAGACCCCTTATCGGTATACACTTACTAACTTACCACCTAGTATCTATCTGTTACCAATTTATTCTTTGAAGTATTCAAATATAACCAGGAGCAATAAGTTGAAGACATTGTTCATCACAGATTGACGTCAACTGAGAAGTCGTTGAAAACCAGAGAACGTTGGACAGATGTTCCACTGAGGTCCACGACTCCTCGACAACTCACATTCACGATACGTTACAATGAACTGAGATCAGTAGTTTCAGGTTTCGTTGCGATGAATACACTTCCAGATCACTTAGTCCTGGATTGATTGATCCACAATCTTTACTTTAGTGTACTTATGAAATAACGTGATGAGTAACAAAGCACTATTACCAATATTTGTCTCGTTCTCAACATGGTTGATATCCACTTTTCTAAAACTTTGTATAGAAACTTCAGTTATTCATCCAAAAGTCTTTCAGTCATGAAAAAATCTAAAAATGACTAAATTTCTGTTTACTTACTTATTTTGTAAAATGTAGTTTCATGTGTATGTATGTGTGTTTCTTTCGTTGTAGATTGAAAATGCTTTGTTTTAATAAAATGATATGGTTTTTGGGTTGCATACCTGGATTGAATTATGCTTTTCTAATTGACGATGTAGACTATCTTGATCCGTTGATATTAGACGACTGGCTACCACCGGTCTTACCAAAAGTAAGTGTTCTTTTGAAACAATTAATAACAGCATTATTCAACGTTACGCTTCAAAATCGTTTCGATTAGCAAGTAAACTTGACTGAATGATTTAACCTAAGGTGGTAGTATGTAGGTTATTGGATTGGTACTGTACCTGGTTTTGTTGTCATATCAGCTAGTGAAAATTGTGGGAGGTATGGCAACATTGTTTATGTTGACCGTAAACTGAAAAGCATAATTTTAATATATGTGATCATCGTCAGCGTGAAAGATGGTAAAATGGTTCAAAAGACTAATTCAAATTCTATTTGGTTAAGTCGAAGTAAATTTTGTATGATTGATTATTAGTTGATTTCTAGTTGAACCAGCCATACTCTGTTGGTTGGAATTCATAAATTAGTAATCATGTGTCACACAGTGGTGTAATTTCTCAAGAATAAAAGTCGTATGTAACACAAAAACACACTGGTAACATTATATAGACGAATTGTATTGCATCGTAAATTGAAGCGACATTTTTTCATACTTTGGCAAATGTAATCATGAAGTGACGTAGGTTGTAGAAACATTTTGAAAACAAGTGAATAACAAACGCTTGTTACGTTCTAGTTTAAAGCTATTTGACTCCGCACATCCAAAACATCATGCACACTGAATTCCGGAATCATAGTCCTTAGGTTTTACAGCGAACACGATATTGTTGAGTCATTGTGTTCTAGTACAATCTGTTTCACACTTTCAACTTCATGGAATTTTATCCTTGAGCTGCTATCCTATTCTCTTTTTGGTTGGTTTCATTAGTCTCTACTTCATACTACAGCATTTAGTAATTCATCTTGAAACTAGTCACTAATGAACACACAATTATTTCACGATATTGGTAAGTCTGCTGAATGAACTCTCGATCGGACGTCCCATCTGCTTCTAATAACCCCAGGCTAGATCTACACGGCAACTTGAGCACGTGAGAACAGGATCGTGGTTGAAGAAGAACGCTTTACTCCAAGTTTAGTTTATGTACAGAATAACCATGGTATTTGCAGAGTTACGCACGCTTATGGGCGTCTATGAATTCCTGGAACCACACTAAGTATAGTATATGCTGTACAAAGTATAGTTAATGTGACACGTGACTCTTCACTTCCAGATGTCTCTGAGAAGCTCCTATTCAACGCAGATAGGGTAAAATGTTTCCTGAGCCTCTAGAGACATTGTTGAGGAATATCCGACGACTCGTCGGGGTATAAATTTATCAATTTATCTATTATCTAACTATTTAATCTGTTAGTGATACGATGAGGCAGTCAAAAACAGTCAAGTGCGAAGTTCACTTGATGTCAATCTGAAATGACCTGAAGGATGAATGGATATGATTGGCTAAGAGATGAGTTGATTTTCTAAGGGGCAGAGATGTATATATGTGAATGAGTATTTGTGCATTTTATTTGGTAGCCAATATACCTTCTCGTCCACTCTTGTGTTCTCATTCAAGTAGTCGATTGGGAGGGGCAGGCTTTAATGCACAGCACATCTTGTATCAGTATCAGATTTCATACACTACCTATCATAACAGTAAACATTTTTTTAAAAAATGAATTGAAATTTCTAGTACTTTGTCAATGCTTTTATTTGTTCACTGTTTCTTTCTAATCAGAATGTTCAGTTTATTTTCACATGTCATTCTAATTCGGAAATCATACAAAAATTAACATGTCAATATAACAAAAACACTTGTTCAGTGTATCAGATACCTCAGTTGACTTCCGAAGAATCTCGTGCTGTTATATTGTCTCATTTACATAATAATGGAGTGTCTTGTATTAATTCTCAATCGGAATATGAGGTAGGTTGAAATGAATGAATAATTGTTATGTGATAAAAGGTAGTCATGTAATATAAGTGTAAATCATAAAATATTCATTTTCCTATGAAGAAATTTGAAAATCCCCTTTTATCCTCTATCTTATACTTTCTTTTACACTACTTTTTAGATCGCTTTACTAATTTCAGCTTGTGAGTCAAATAATCCATCGTATTTCAATATGGTTTGCAAATATCTACAATTATGTGGAAGTCATGATGAGGTTTGTACATTATCATGAAGTTTTAATATAATCGTGATTTAATAGGAACTTGAATTATCCCGTTGTTGATGTTTTGGACTGAATTTTGATCGTCCGATATAGCGATCAACACTAGGATGCAGGTACATCCACCTGACGAGTCTCTAAATAGGTTGAAACACTTATCCCTTATTCATGTTCAGTAATGCTTGAAATGTTATGGTTTACTTGTCTTCTCACCTTGTGAAAATGAGATTGAACAAGGTGGAGGAATTGCTTTGATCGATTTTCATGATTTCTCTTAAGACTTTTAGCATGGTAGTGATGTTGGTCTGTTGTTGGTAATTTTAGAAACAGATTTCGCAATATCATGCATTGATTGAGGTTAGCCATAAACACCGTTGGATGCTGACTCAATGGTCTAAAGGTTAATCGTTCATGCGTGAGACTGAAGGTTTTTAGTTCGAGTCCGCTGAGCAGTCCCATATTAGGACGAGACGGCAGTCCAATGCCTCGAGGTTTTCAATGATAGTGTTACTTAAATCGATCGACGATCTTAATGAATTTCAACAGTCTTCACAATCTGCTCCTAAAGACTGTTGTTGTTAGTGAGGTTGTCCAAAGACATGGATCAATGTTTCCATTATATACATTTGAGGATATACTACTTTTCGCTGTCTGTAATCGCTCAATTAGCTTTTGGTAGTATGTTACTTGTTACATTTAAAATTGTTGAATAGCTATTTCCATTTTATCGATGTAATTTCAATTATTCATCTTCAGTGGAACTAATAATTTTTGTCAAGATCGAACTTCAAACTTTAAATTCATTTGATGGGAAACATGATTGTTGTTACCCGTATGATACTGATTGAACGTATTCACCCATAGATTGCTACATATTTGCATACACTCTGGAGTTTAACTATCGTGATCTTTCTAACTTCATTTATCTGTAAATCTCTGCTTATAAATTATTTATGCTTTCATTTTGATTGT